TCATCAGAAAACTTCTGAAGATGGCAGGTCTCAGTGCAATAGCTGAAGTCCGTGGTGTAGAGGGTGAAGAGGAAGGGAGAGAGGACAGTCCCCTGCGGGGCCCCGGTATTGCTGACCACTCTGTCTGACACACAGCGTTGCAAGCGCACATACTGTGGTCTGCCAGTCAAGTAGTCTACAATCCAGGACACCAGGGGGGCATCCACCTGCATTGCTGTCAGCTTGTCACCCAGTAGAGCTGGATGTATGGTGTTGAATGCACTAGAGAAGTCAAAAAACACGACCCTCACAGTGCTCGCCGGCTTATCCAAATGGGCGTAGACACGGTTGAGCAGGTAGATGATGGCGTCCTCAACTCCAATCAGGGCTGATAGGCGAACTGGAGGGGGTCCAAAAGTGGCTTGACCATGGGCCGGAGCTGCTCCAAGACGAGTCTCTCCAGGGTCTTCATGATGTGGGAGGTCAATGCCACGGGTCTGTAGTCCTTGGAGCCACTGGGACGTGACGTTTTTGGCACAGGGACGAGGCAGGATGTCTTCCACAGCAAGGGGACCCTCTGGAGACTCAGGCTCATGTTGAAGACATGCTGAAGTACTCCACATAGCTGGGGGACACAGGCTTTGAGCACCCTGGGGCTGACACCATCAGGGCCTGCAGCCTTATTTGAGTGGAGTCTCATCAGCTGTCTTCTCACATGGTCAGCAGTGAAGAACATTGTGGAAGTGACGACATGTGGGGGAGGGATGTAGTCCTCATGATGGAGAGAGCAGTCAGTCTGACCACGGGGGGATGAGGTGTGACGAGGAGGAGGAGGGGTCAAGCAGGAGGGTGTTGAGGTGTGAGAGGGAGGAGTGGGGGAGGAGGGCAGAGTGGGAGATGGTTGACCAAGACAGACAGCAGAAGAGTCGGGGGGGGGGGGGATGGGCAGGGCCAGCAGTGTCAAGTCTGTTAAAAAACAGATTCAGTTCATTGGCCCAAAAAAAAAAGCCAAAAAAAAAGGAAACAAAAACGAAATGCAATGAGAACACTACTGATAGATAATCAAGAATGTACTGACCCAGACTTAATTTCTAAGGAAATCTTTAAATTTTACAGTGAACTGTACTCCTTTTCTTATTCATCCTCAGATGCTGATGCTTTCTTTGAGTATATTAAAAAGTGGATCCCCAGAATTGATGAGTATTTCAAAAGCATGTGCGAGGTAAGTATGGATGAAGTGAAAAAGGCCATAAAATGCTTAACATTAGACAAGTCCCCGGGCTCAGATGGTCTACAAGCAACTTCTATAGACATTTCTAAAGATCTCCTTTTTGTATGTTAAAAGAAATATCTGAATCTCATATTCTTCCAACTACTATGAAGCAGGGGTTGATCACTCTCATCCCTAAGCCTGGTAAAGATTCCAAATTAATTGACAACCTTAGACCCATAACCTTGCTCAATACTGATTACAAAATATTAACACATATTCATGCAAACAGACTGAAATCTGGTATTACACAAATTATCTCAGATACACAATCTGGTTTTATTAAAGGACGATCAATTCATAATAATATAAGGCTTGTGCTTGACTTGCTGGAATACAACCATCTAATTGAAGATGAAGGTTTTATTTTATTCTTAGATTTTTTAAAGTGTTCGATACAGTCGAACATAAGTTTATTTTTAGCACCTTAGAACTATTTGGTTTTGGAGAAAACTTCATTAACATGATTTAACTAATTTATAAGGATACTAACAGTACAGTCATACTATCACAAGGAACATGTCCAAGATTCTCAGTTAATAGAGGAATTAAGCAAGGCTGTCCCATTTCTCCCTTACTATTTATCACAGCAGCGGAAACGCTTTCTATTCTTATAAAAAACACAGATTTTGAAAATTTGATAGTGTTAGGCAAACAACTGGCAATTAGCCAACTGGCTGACGACACAACCATATTCATGAAAAATACTGAACAAATCCCCAGAGTCCTCAATACAATTAATTTCTTTTCCAAGGCATCTGGACTAAAATTAAAACTTAAAAAATGTGAATTATTACCAATACATAGTTCCCTCTAACAACAATTCATAATATCCCTGTTAAATCAACAGTTAAATACTTAGGCATACACATTACTAAGGACATTAACACTCAAGATAACCTCAACATTTGGAATACTATAGATAAATGTAAATCATATTTAAATATGTGGTCTCAAAGAGACATCTCTATTATTGGTCGAATTTTCCTCACAAAAATGGAATGTCTCTCAAGATTCATTTACCCAGCCTATTCGCTATCACTCTCTAAAAGTGCAATAAAGACTATAAACCAAGCAAACTTCAATTATATATGGAATAGGAAAACACACTACATCAGAAAAGGAATTATGGTTAAAGGATACGAGAAGGGAGGACTTAAAGCCATCGATATAGATTGTATTAATGGCACCATTAAAATTAATTGGCTAAGATCCTTGTTAAGAGATGAAAATAGCCAATAGTTAAACATCCCAAACCATATTTTTATGAGATTAGGAGGAATTAACTTTCTCCTTAGATGTGATTTTGATCTGAAAAAGATCCCCATCAAATTATCTGCCTTCCATTAACAGGTTTTACTATACTGGAAAATGATTTTCAAGCATAATTTTAGTCCCCATAACACCCCATTATGGAATTGTAGGTATGTCTTACTTAGAAATAAATCCATTTTTTACCAAAATTGGTTAGAGAAAGGAATATGGTCTGTAATGCATCTGTTAGATAACACTGGAAATATTATACCCTTTGCAGAACTTTGTTCCAAATTTAATCTTAATGACAGAAGACAATACATAAATATAATCAAAGCAATTCCTCAATCTATAATTATAATGTTCAATAACATACCTCAAAGTAATATTAACCCAAATCTTCCTTCACTATTGGTGAATGGTCATTATATCAATAACTTAAAATTACCTAACGTCACAATCCGGCAAACCTTTATTAAAGAATTATATCCATTCTCAACAAACAGAAACTCAATTCTACAATTATTCTCTAAAAAGGAAGCTGAGAATTTAAGGGCCAAATTCTTTAAGTATCCAATTGCACCAAAAATGAAGGAAGTTCACTTTAAAATTCTTAATGGAATATACCCTTCTGCTGAATTTTTACGATGTCGTTTTGGTTTTGAGCATAACAACTGCTCATTCTGTGATGATGAAATTGAAACCACAGAACATTTATTTTATGATTGCAAGTTTATTAATGTCTTTTGGGAAGATTTACATGACTGGTTATTCCCCAAATTTGTCAATTTCTCTAATTTAACAAAAGAGAATATTTTATATGGCATACCTGTAAAAGATCCAACACATGATCTGGGAATTAGACTACAGATTACAATCATCATCCTTGCAAAAATTTTTATACATAAGAACAAATTCATGAAAACAAAACCCCAAATCTATGTTTTTCATAAGGAGTTGTGTCATTATTTCTCATCTTTAAAATGCATGGAGAAAAAAACGGCTGTGAAGCTTTGTGATTTAGTAGAGGAGCTTAACCTCA